TTGGTACACTTGTATAGTTTGCGGCCCTAAACATTTTCAGAAATGGAGCCATCGCAAAAACAACGTGGGGTTGCCATGGCGACCATTTTACTTTCCGCCATTACCAAATTATGTATTTTGTGTCATGAAAATACATGAACCAAACATGATAACACAGAAAAGGTGATGTCTATCCCTATGTTTTGATGGTCAAGGATTACAGTGATACCATATACAAAAACATAAACTGTTCAGGTGAAGAGTTAATGGTGAAATCAGCAATGTAAGAAGGAAATAACAGCATCTGAGCATCATAGTATCACAGCATTTACAAAAGTCCATATTATGGCTATTCATGTTTTTTCATTAATTATTAATTAGTTACATTTATATAGCATTTTTCTGGGTACTCAAAGCGCTTTACATAAATCTTCATAACCATCCACCTGGATGATGCGACAGAGGCATATTGCGCCAGAACGCCCACCACACACCAGCTTAACTAATATTTTAAAAGATTGCTTTCAAGAATACAATCATTTATTTCAGAGATATAAAAAAATATAATCTCAAGTAAGTGTATGTTTCCTTACCTCTCAGGCAGAGTCAGGTAGGCGGTAGTGTGTTTCCAATACATTATTGTTCTCTCTCAACAATGCTCCAACATCACACGCAGACAGCAGCGCAATCTTGCTAAGCTAAGTCCTATCTGCACCTCTTCTGCTGCACCTCTGTCATTTTTCATTTTTCTGGGTCTCTGGAAATGTCAGTCAGCTGTCAACAAACTTCATTCTGGCCATTGCTTCTCAGTGTACTCTTAGTATCTTGGGTTTGACTGAGACCTGGATTCGTCCAGAAGACTCTGCAACCCCTGCTGTTCTCTCTAACAACTTTCCTTTCTCTCATACCCCTCGTCAGGTTGGAAGGGTACTGATCTTCTCGTTTCTAATAATTGGAAATACTCAACCCACTCTTCACTATGCAATACAAATTATTTTGAGTTTCATGCTATTATGGTAACAGCTCCTGTTAAACTCCATATTGTAATGATTCATTGCCTTCCTGGTCGACTGGGCACCCTTATAGAGGAGCTGTATGGGCTGCTGTCCTCATTCTCTGTGGATGGCAGTCCACTTGTAGTCTTTAATTTCTTCTAAATCCATCTGGAGAAGCCTTACACTGCAGACTTCCACTTCCACTCCTAGCTTCATTGGATCTCAAATGGCTTACCACCACAAGCACTAACAAATCAGTAATGTTCTCATACTTATTAATATAG